GCATGCACATCATTTTTCTTTGATCTTTTTCTTGGATCTCCACTTCCGATTTCTCGCAATTTCTTCAGTTTCAGTCCCTATTTTTCTTTCCCGGCTGATATCTTCTTTCTCCGACACTGTTGTAAACACTTTACTACGGAGACATGTCAAATTCCCCTCATATTTACGATGGAGTCACTGATGTCACTCCTTTAACAGTAGTCATTCCTCCCGGTGGTGAGGTTTTTAATGGCTGAGGAGGAAGAAAGTTTCCCCACCGTGGAGGAGGTGGTTCCCAAGAATCCTTTGGTCAGAAATGACTTCCTAAAGGAACCTGCTCCCGCTCCTGCTCAGGAGCTTTCTGAGACGGGGCTGCGTTAAATAGCCGACCTCCGGTCCAAATACCGCATTCCTTCTCGTGTCGAGATTATTCCAGCGGGAGACGACATAGTTCAGGTTCACCGACATGGATATTATGCTTTCTACGTTTACCTGTTCTTAGTTGGTTATTCTCTTCCTCTCCCCCCATTAGCGGAGGAGTTTTGCCGCTTTTACAACATCTGCCCGGCGTAGCTCTCCCCTTATTTTTATACAAAGTTTTTCTAATGTTGGCGAAGTAAGCAGAGTTGGCCGGCTGTGAGGTCAATATTTGCCATCAGTTGCATCTATTCTCGCCCAGCTTTTATAGAGGCACGTTGATACATCTGCGACATCGTGGGATCAAAGGGTTGGTGGTCGGGATAGATGATAAGGCGAACCGGCGGTTCTGGCATAAATACTTTTTCATCAAAACCGAGCACCTGGTGGCGAACCCGATCGGGTTTCCCGAGCAATAGAACTATAATCGTTAGTACATTACCGTATGTTCGTTCTTTTCTTTCTTCCTCTTCTTCCGTTTTTTACTCTCATAGCTTCCTTGTTTCCAGTTGAGAGACGTGCATCTTCTCCCGTCTTCGATACTGAAGATTGGGTGGCTCGCGTGTTACCCCACACCATGGGAATTCGCGACTGGGCATCCTTTCACAAGTGCTTTGGACCCAAGACTCCGTCCGGTAAGTGTTGTTTCTACCTTAACTTATTGTTGTTCACTATTGCCTTTTGACGCGACCTTCCTTTGGTGCCAGGTCGGCGAGTTTCCAAAAAGGAGAAGGCTTCAGTGCCTGCATTTCGCCAGGCTGTCGCATCGACTGGAATGCAGTTTGCTTTAGCTGAATCCGCTGGAGGAGGTCGGACCCAAGTTGCGCTAATGAGGGACTCCGACCCTCAAACTGTTGCCGTACTGGATGAGATCTCTTCTCGGCCTATCTTTTATCTTGTGGACGAGTCATCTCACGGCGAGGAGGCATTGCCAAGGAAAAGAGGAAGGGTGGAGACCGGGAAGGCCATTGTCGCTGATGTAGAGCCGGAAAGATTCATTTCTTTGGGAGCGGAATCGTTGCTTACACCAGATGTCGAGGTTGTTTCTACGGCGGGTGCCTCTATGGAGAGGAGGTCCTCTGAGGTTGAAGGGAGCTTATGCGGGCTACTGAAGGTTGCTCATCATCGGCGGCTGGGAGAGGTAGAGCTGTCCCTGCGGGGGACGATGACTCTGGTTCGGACATCGACCTTGAGGAGATACGGGCCTTCGTAGAGAGGACTAATTGTGTGGAGATAAGGACGGAGGGTCCCAATCGGCATATATTCATTCCCATGGACTATGAACTCTTGGCCAACTCAGAATGGGCGGTGTCAGCCTTTGCTCCCCTGTGCGCGACATCCGAGAATACGACGCTACAAATGCTGAAAGATGCAGATCTGTCGGTGGGTATACCTGGCATGGCCCTGAGAGTGAGTTTGCTTTTCCATGTTAGGTTAAGTTTGTTTCGTATGTGTAATTTGTTTACACTGACCTCTTCTTTTTTTTGCATGTAAGGCTCTTATTATGGGGATCGAGCACGACCGGCGAGAGGAGCGGAGGACGACCATTTTTAAGAAGATAACCTCCAAGTACAAAGAGTACCGTACCAAGCACCGAACACTGGCCGACTTTCTCAGCCAGGATGGCCAGTTTCAGTTGCTCCGTGACAGGCTCAAATAGAAGCATGATGAGCCGACGAAGAAGAATAAAGAGCTGAAGGAGAGGGACGAGGAACTTATGAGGGCCATCAGTAGGTGCAGCGTGCTTGAGGCAGCGTTAATGGCCAAGGAGGATGAGCTCGAGGTGAGCAAGTGGGTGATGGCCAAGAATGCTGACCTTCGGCGCAGGTGGCATATTTAACGGTTGAACTCGAGTAGGGGGAGGCAAGGGTCGTCGATCTGAGGGATGAGCTAAGTGCCAAGATTGAAGAGTTGGGTCGGGCTGAGAAAGTCAGAATGGCCGCTGTGGCTGAGGTGGCGGCCCTAGATGACGATCTCCGTGTTTTTAGGTCCGAGCGAGCTAATGAGGCGGAGACGTCGATGCTCAAGGTAGAGAGGTTGGAGGAGCGAATCATGGGTTTGGAGGCGGAGCTGTCGGAGTTAAATGAGCAAGTGGTTGCCCTGAGGGCCGAGAAGACACAATAGCAGGCACATCCGTCTACATCTCACACTTCTGCCGACCCCGGTGTGTCGCGGGAGTTGTACGAAATGTGGGTCCATGCCGAGGCTCAACTTGACGTGTACAAGTCTTTGCAAGTTGCCGGGAAGATTTCCGAGGTGGAGCTTGGGGGCGTCCATGTCAAGGCACGTGCCGCTCGTGAAGCTTGTGGTTACGACCCTGGTACACCCGGCGGGGATGATGATGACGATGCTGTGGATGGGCTTGCCTCTGATCCTTGGTATGATGACGAGTATGCTAATGGGGACGATGTGGCGTGAAGCTTTTGTACTTAGTTTTTTTGGCTTTGCTATTTTTGTGAGGGCGTTCTCGAGCACTTTGTAAAAAGTATTGTAATCCGACAATTGAAATGGAACAATTGCCTTTTTGCTATGTATTTCTGGATCCCATTTTCTTCTTCTTATTTTTGTTTTCTATGCAGGAAAATCCTTGATTTTTTGGCCGTTTGTATGCAATGTTGATTTTTGCGTGGTCGAACATAAACCGTCTTGAGGCCGAGTATTAATTAGCTCAAACGAGGTCAAGGTTTGATGAGGTCAAAAATAAACTAATTCGAGCGAGTCGTATGTAAAGTAATTCGAGCGAGTTCGAATGTAAAGTAATTCGAGCGAGGTCGAATGTAAAGTAATTCGAGCGAGGTCGAACGTAAAGTAATTCGAGCGAGGTCGAACGTAGAGTAATTCGAGCGAGGTCGAATGTAAAGTAATTCGAGCGAGTCAAATGTAAAGTAATTCGAGCGAGTAGAATGTAAAGTAATTTGAGCGAGATTGAATGTAAAGTAATTCGAGCGAGGTCAAATGTAAAGTAATTCGAGCGAGGTCGAATGTAAAATATAAAATGATTTGGTGGAGTTGTGCAAAGATGCTGCATGCTGCTTTATTTCATTTATTGGAGAATATTACATGTTTTTGTTTGTTCCGTACATACATTTGAGAAGTTCTAGTCTACCTAGTCCCTTCAACGCTCGGCCTGGAGAAGTAGTTGATAGGCGGGGCGATGAATTATACTTGAACTTCGAGACGTCCTCTTCGTTGCCTCATTAAAAACCTCACCGATAAAACCTAATTGGGACAAAACCCGGGTGAGGGAAAAAGAGTACGACTTGGAGGGCGTCCGTTCTCAGAAGTTGAAGTATTTGAGGTGGGAGACGTTCCAATTATTTGGTAGTAGCTTTCCTTCCATTGTTTCTAGTTGGAATGATCCTTTGTTTGTTGCTGCCGTGATTTTGTATGGCCCGTCCCAATTGGTTCCTAGTTTACCTTCTCTCGGGTCTTTGCTCGCCTGTGTTTTGGCCTTGAGTACATAGTCCCCGACTTTGAGTGGTGGTACTTTGGCCTTTTTGTTGTAGTACCATTCTGCTTTCTGTTTTTGGGCTATCATTCTTATGTAAGCCGTGTCTCTTCGCTTCTCTGCTTCGTCGAGGTCTTGTTTCCTGTTCTCGTCATTGCTTGGTCCGCTCTCATTGGAGTATCTCAAACTTGGTTCCCCGACCTCGACTGGTATCATGGCGTCAGTCCCATAGACTAGTGAATATGGCATTTCTCCTCTGCTTGTTTTGGCGTGGTGTGGTATGCCCATAGCACTTCTGGTAGCAGTTCCGGCCACAGTCCCTTGGTGTCTTTAAGCTTTTTCTTCAAGATGTTTACTATTATTTTGTTGGAGGACTCGGCTTGGCCGTTGCCTGCCGGGTGATATGGCATGGAGAGTATTCGCTTGATGTGCCATTTCTCGAAGAATTCGACGGTCTTTTTCCCGGTGAATTGGCGTCCCTTATCACAGCTGATTTCTTTGGGGATGCCGAAGCGGCATATGATGTTTCTCCATATGAATGTGATAACTTCATGTTCGCGTACTTGGGCAAATGCACCTGCTTCTACCCATTTGGAAAAGTAGTCAATTAAAACCAAAAGGAAACGTATATTACCTCGTCCCGCTGGAAGTGGTCCCACGATATCCATTCCTCATTTGATGAATGGCCATGGCGATGTGACTGAGTGGAGGTTCTCGCCCGCTTGGTGTATCTATTTCTGGCACTACTGGCACTTCTTGATGAAGTCAGCGGCTTCCCTCTTCATGGTGGGCCAATAATAGCCCACTCGTATGAGGCATCTAACGAGGTCCCAGTTGCCGGTATGGGCACCGCAGTGGCCTTCGTGTACTTCCTCGAGGACGCGTCTTGTTTGGTTTGGCCCTAGGCATTTCTCCAAGGGGCCGCCAAACGTTCTTTTGTACAGGTCTTGGTTTATGATGCTGTATCTGGCCGCCTACATTCGAAGCTTTTTGGCTTCTTTTTTCTCTGATGGGAGTACTCCCTCCTGCAAATATGTTATAATAGGGTTGCGCCAGTCCCAAGTTAAATTTACAGAGTGTACCTCAAGTTGGTCTATTGACGAGTGGAGGAGTGTAACCACGCTTTCTTTTCCACTTATGTTTTTGGTTGCTGCTGCTAATTTGGCGAGACCATCTGCCTCAATGTTTTGTGCTCGAGTTGACATTCGTCGAATTCCGGGACTAGCTTATGAATTTTTGCCTGGTACTTTTGTAGCCTTTGCTCTTTTATTTGGAAAGTTCCTGTGACTTGGTTGACAACGAGCTGTGAGCCGCATCGGAGGACGACCCATCGTGCTCCGTATCTGAGAGCTAGCTTCAGTCCTACAATTACCGCCTCGTACTCGGCCTCATTGTTAGTCATGTAGGAGCACCGTATGGAATGGCAAATGACTTCGCCTGTTGGGACCTCGAGTACGAGTCCCGGTATAGATCCTGACGTGTTGGAAGCGCCATAGGTGTATAGGACCCATAGGTCGGTTAAACTGGGAGAGGCACGAGAAGTTTCTTGCTCGGCCTCAGGAATTATTTTGGCACTGAAATCGGCAACAAAGTCGGCAAGTACCTGAGATTTATCGTTGTTTGCAGCTGATATGTTATATCACGCTCGCTCAATTCTATGGCCCACATGGCCAATCTCCCCGACAACTCGGGTTTATGTAGGATGCTCCTTAGGGGGGAAGGTCGTGACGACTGTTATGGGGTGACATTGAAAATAGGGTCTAAGTTTTCGTGAAGCTATGACCAATGCCAAGTCCAAATTTTTGAGGTGGGGGTACCATGTTTTGGCGTCGACCAGGATTTTGCTAATGTAATAGATTGAGGATTGCGTACCTTTGTTTTCATGGACCAGCATAGGACTTACTGCGACCTCTAATACGGCCAAGTATCAGGAGGCACTCACCGGGTTCTGCTTTGGCGAGTAGCGGGGGCGAAGATAAGTATGCCTTTAGTTTTCTTAAGGCCTCGATGCATTCTGAATTCCGCTAGAGTCTGTTGTCCCTTTTAAGCACGTTGAAGAATTTGTGGTATCTGTCAGAGGACTGTGAGATGAACCTCGACAGGGCAGCTATACGGTCGGTCAGCTTTTGTACCTGTTTCTTGCTGGTCAATACTTTGGGTATTCCCTTGATGGCTTTGATCTGGTCAGGATTGACCTCGATGCCTCGTTGTGATACCAGAAAATAGAGGAACTTGCCCGAGGTTACGCCGAAAGCACACTTTTCGGGGCTTAGCTTCATGCCGTATCGCCTTAGTATACCGAAGGCTTCCTTCGGATGGTCGATGTGGTCTTCCTTCCTTTATGATTTGACCAACATATCGTCTATGTAAACTTCCATTGTTTTACCGAGCTGGTCCTTGAACATCTTGGTGACCAACCTTTGATAAGTCGCCCCTACGTTCTTCAACCCGAATGGCATGACTTTGTAGCAGTATGTTCCTTGGTGGGTGATGAAGGTGGTCTTTTCCTGGTCCTCTTCCTCCATGAGGATCTGGTTATAGCCTGAGTAGGCGTCCAAGAAGCTTAATAACTCGTGTCCAGCTGTTGCATGGATGAGCTAATCGATGTGAGGAAACGGGAAGGAATCGTTCGAACAGGCTTTGTTTAAGTTCGTGAAGTCCACGCACATGCGCCATTTCCCATTTTTCTTTTTCACCTTGACCACATTGGCGACCCGTTAGGGGTATTTAGATTCCCGAATGGAGCCGTTGGTAAGCAATTTCTCTTCCTCTTCGTGGATGGCCTCATTGATTGCGGCGCTATACTTTCTTCTGATTTGTCGTACTAGTGGGTAGAATGGATCGACATTTAGCTTGTGTGTGGCAATGTCTTTCAGGATACCTGGCATATCTGCATGTAAGAAAGCAAACAGATCGGCGTTGTCAAATCAAAATTTATGAAATTTACCTGGTTCTGAGGGATTATGGCTGATGTAAGCCTTTTTACTGTGGTCGCTGTTGTCCAGTTGAACGGGTCGAGGTCCTCTATTGTTGACCCCGTGGCTTCCATGATGTCGGGATCCTTGATGACGTCTTTTTGTTCGTCAAATTCGAACCCCGACTTTGGTAATTGCTATGCTTTCGAGCCTGTTCTCTTTAACTGTTGAGTGTGTGTACAATCTTGGGCGATGCGGTAGCATTCTTGGGTTGTGCGCTGTTCGCCTCGGATGCTGAATATCCCTCACGGAGTAGGGAACTTGATTAGTTGATATAAGCTTGACGGGATGTCCCTCATGGCGTGTATCCATGGTCGCCCTATGATGGCGTTGTAAGTTGTGTCCTAGTTCATGATATGAAACGCTGTTTCTAGGGTAATGCCTCCGGCCAGCACGAGTAGCGTTATCTCTCTTGAGGTTCACTCAACTGCATTATTAAAACCTATTAGCGTGATGCAGCGTGGTACTATTTCGTCCTCGAGTCTTATTTGTGTGAGAACTCGGGGGTGAATAATACACGTGCCGCTCCTGTCATCTACCATTATTCTTTTTACATCAGTATCTGAAATACGTAATGTAGTGACAAGAGAATCAAAGTGAGGAAAGGTCAAACCGTGGGTATCTGACTTATCGGAGATGATACTGTCTTCGAGGTCATCATGCCGTTCGTGGGTGATCGAACGCTTTAGTTATGTGTGGTGGTGAACTTTACGTGATTAATTGCTGCATCGTCACCTCCACTGATGATCATTGGGATGGTGCGGGCGGGGGAGGGTGGCTTTGGAGGGCGTTGGTGTTGTTCTCGTCCGCGGGCGAAGTTGGCTCTTCCTCTGTCGCTCATCAGCTCCCTTAGGTATCCTTGGTGAACCATGTTCACTACTTCTTGCCGTAGGGCTATGTAGTCTTCGTTCTTGTGACCCCTCTCCTGATGAAACTCAAATAGGGCATTTGACTTTCTGGTACTTGGATCAGGCTTCATCTTTTGTGGCCATTTCACCTTCGGTCAGAGCTTCTCCAGTGCGTACACTATTTTTGAAGGGGAAACACAAAAATTGTGAGTAGATAAGAGTGGAGGCATACCTCTTTCATTTCGCTGAGTCCATGTATGGGTCCTAAATGACCCTTCTGTGTGGCCAGGAGATGATGGGATGGTCGTTCTGACATATGGTTGGTGCCTATCCCGGTTGAGGTGTGGACCTGGATGGTCTCATCGGCCGTCATTACGGTGATCTTTCTTCGACTCCGTTTGGACTGACGTTAGCCGTCGGGTTGGACCATTGAGATTGTTCTCATCTGCTCTTACCTCGGCGCAATAGGCGTTGTGAATTTCTTCCCACATGGTGGTAAGGTATTTCATGAGTCTGTTCAACAACTTTATGGTTACCCTCGACCCATTCTTGTTCAATCCGTTTTGGAAAACTGCCACCGCCATCCCTTCTGATACGTTTGGCAAGCTCATTCTTACTCTGTCGGGCGAGGAAGTCCCTGAGTTCATCGCCAGGTGACTATCTGACGGCGAATATATCATTCACCCTGGCCTCCGCCTTTTTAGCTTCGGCGTGGGCGGTTACGAACTTATCGGCCATTTCCTTGAACGTTATAATCGAACGTGCTGGTAATTGTGAGTACCATGTTAAGGCTCCCCCTGTTAGGGTTTTGCCGAACTTCTTCAGTAACACTGATGGTACATGCTATTTTGAGAGGTTATTGCCTTTTACTGCCGTGATGTAATGAATGATATCATCTTCGGGGTCTGTTGTGCCGTCGTATATCTTCAAATATGGTGGCATTTTGAAGGTCTTTGGTATGGCATATGGGGCTGCATCCTCGCTGTACCATTGTTCGATGAACCGACCGACGTCCCGTTTTGGCAGCAGTTTCGGGGCTCCTGGTATCTTATCGACCCTTTCTTGATGCTCCCTCATTTGGTCACGAAGCGCTTTATTATCGTTCTCCATTACTTCCATTTTCTTTAGAATGGCTGCAAGTGCGTCGTTACCTGCCTCAACAACAGTGTGAGTGTTACCTGTTGGGAGAGTAGGAACAAGTTGCTATTTGGTGGTTGCTATGGTATCCACTTGTGTGGCGCTTCCATTCGCCCTTTGAATAGGTTTGTCAAGTATGTTGTTTAGAGTACTTGTCAACCACACTTCCAATAGCTTTTTCACTGCTGGTGGCGCTTCCTCAGTTGTGGACGTGGAGGATCCCCTTTCCCGTGAAGTGGTTACACTTCCATGAGAGGGAGGTGAGTTACTCCACCTGGGTGTAACACTCGGCGTCACATTCTCCTCGTCTTCTCTATCAATCTCGTTGATGGTGTTCATGAGGTTAGTAGTGACGCCCACTACTGCTTTCTGTCTTTCATCTCCTTTTCCTGCCATTGTTAGTTCGTGCAAACGAGAATTTTTTTTTGATCTAGAAGAAACTCAAATTTTAACTAGAACCTCTCCACAGACGGCGCCAAATTGTTTGACCAAAAAATGTTAAGCTTTTTTGTTAAACTAATTAATGAGGAAATAGAGGATGAATCCTACTTAAACGTAATAAATTCTAGATCTGAAATTGGGGGGTATCAGTGATATGGGACCGTGTTCAAGAATGACAAATATCAAGTATATGTTCAATGATTGTCAATGAATGTAGTGATAGAAGCATGAAATAAATGTAGATAATGGCAGTAAATGTAATAAGGAGGAATTTATCACCCTAATGTTAGGTGGCTTGGATGATTCTCCTTCCTGACAACAACGTGGAGTGGTAGAAAGTGAAGATGGACAAGGAATTTTTGGATCTTGTGAATGAACAATGTATATTGAACAATGTAATCAGTGAACAAGACAAGCTTTTGTATCTTCTTTATAGTCAATCCTTTACAATGTGCTCTTATCAAAACGTGAAGATCCCCTTTTTGTTCTTTATCTCTTACTATTTATAGGGGATCTTCCTAAAACAAAACCTAAAAAGGTACAACTGAAGGAATATTCGATGGAATATTCTTTCGTTCTATTCTAACTTATCTTACCGTATTTTCATACACCTTTTGCTCGACCTCGGCACTAACTTTCTTAAGGCGACTCTTTTCCCTCATGCCCTGGTTGGCTTAATCCTCGACTATGTCCATTTGCGGCTATTAAGTCTAATCCAAATTTGAACCAATACAAGTACTCCTGTACTCTCTTTCTTCTCTTCACCGGCAACCCCTCCCCGTTTATCTCCCTCCAATCACCCCTTTTTTTATCCAGTTTTTTTCATTCTCTTTCAAATTTTTCTCATCTTGTTTTCTTATTCTTTCTCAAATATAATGAGTGGTTTGAGTAAAGAAAGGTTACGAGTTTTGAACTTAAGCAAGGAGAGAGAGAGAGAGAGAGAGAGAGAGAGAGAGAGAGAGAGAGAGAGAGAGAGAGAGAGAGCACCTTAGAGTTTTCGGCCAGATTCAATATTGTCACGACCCAAAGTCCACTAAGGGTCGTGATTGTCCCGGACACCACTGTCATACAAGCCAACACCATATTACTAGTAAATTCTCATTTTAATTTTCTCAAATCATTTCTTCTAAACATTTAACCAATAGATAATAAACTTCACTGGATAAATAATGATGTCTTTACAAAATTTATTTACTGAATAATCCTGAAATCATCCTAGAACCCGGTGCACAAGTGCATGAGCAATTTCTAGGAAATCTAATAAAGTACAATAGTTGTCCGGAATACAAACTTGGACAGAAAGTAAATACAATACACTGAAGGAGACTCTGCTGGCTGCGGGTCATCTCGAGAGATACAGCTCACCTAAGTCTCCGTATCATCCATGCTGCTATGCCCATTAGGCCACTAGAGGTACATGTGCATGTGCAACAAAAATGCACAACAAGTGTAGCATGAGTACAAAAACAACGTGTACTCAGTTAGTATCCCGTCTAATCTCGAAGAAGTAGAGACGAGAGGTCGACTTCGACACTTACTAATGGTCCAATAATATCATTACAGTAAATAAGTGAATAAGTATGAAACATGGCGAATATATGAAACAAACATGTATAAAACATAATAATACCGTCCCCCTTCTTCATAATTTTACTCAAGTTTTCAGCTAACAAGTTCCCTCGGTAACCAAAGCATATATGTACAATTATAGTGGTTTCTGTCAAGGAAATTATCAGGATTCAATTCAGGGAAAAATCCCTCATATACACCGGCTACTGGCCAAATGTTACGCACGATTCCATGAGTATAATACATAGGTATGTATATGTATAGGAAATGCCGAGGCGACGGCCCGATCCAACATAAAAGTAAACTGTGCACTGCCGAGGGTCGAACGGCGCGAACCATAGATGCATCTATTACCTGCCAAGGCGATCGGCCCGCTCCCATGAGAGTAGTAGAAGTAAATACCCCTCTCGCGAATCATACGTGCGACGCGGTCAAATATAGATTTAAGGACTTTCCCCGCTCACGAATCATACATGCGACGCGGTCAAATATAGTTTTAAGGAATTTTTCCGCTTGCGAATCATACATGCGACGTATAAATTTATTAACAAATCAAAGTCCTTTTGTTTATCCTTTTCAAAATAGAGACAATTCAACGTGAAGCTTTTAAGGTAATTTTCCTCGCTCGCGAAACATACATGCGATGCGGTTACCCATAGATTCCTTAAATTATTATAAGATTCCCCAATTCTTTTTGAAAGTACTAAGTTTAACGGTGACACTTAAATTCTTAAATTCCTCAATTAAAATACCTTTCAACACAATTATTACGCAACCTCAATCATATTTCTTCTCAAGACAACAACAATAACATCGATCAACAACAATATCAACAAAGCATGATGTAGCCTAGGACTACCCGGACACAGACATAATGGTAGCTACGCACGGACTCTCGTCACCTTGTGCGTACGTAGCCCCCTCAATTAGAAGCACATATCCAATTAATTCACCTATGGGACAATTCCCTCTTACAAGGTTGGAAATGAGACTCACCTTGCTCCGAAGTTCCATAACCGGCATTCCACACCCTTCCGAAAACTCAAATCAATGCACAACGCTCCAAAACTAGCCAATAA